TGCACCCTAGCACCCGGCGTAGTTGTTAACCGTTGCTTGGACACTAAAGGTCGTCCTGCGAAATTCCGCCCTCCACCTCCGCCTGCCAGGAGAGAGAGAAAAAGAGAAAAAAAGCCTTTTAACACATCCAACATTATCCCTAAATAATAAGCTCACCATGGAAGTGACTCAACTGCCCCAAGTAGCCACCTTGGACGACCTTATCCAAGAACTCCACAGGGTCTTTGACAGCGACGAAGTAAATGTCGAATATGTCCACAACCTCCTTGCTTCTTACAAGTCCAATCCTCTCGAGTGGAAAAAATTCGCCAAGTTCGATCGTTACAAGTAAGTTGTGTTTTGAAGTTGTGGTTTGCAAATGTTTGCGTTATGTTGCAGTGTTTTTTTGGGGGATATGTGGAGGCTGGTGTGTGGGTATGAGGATAAAATATGATGATGGGAGAGATGTGTGTGTGTGTGTGTGTGTGTGTGTTGTGTGTGTGTGTGTGTGTGTGTGTGTGTGTGTGTGTGTGTGTGTGTGTGTGTGTGTGTGTGTGTGTGTGTGTGTGTGTGTGTGGATAACTTTTTTTTTTTTCTCATTTTCCATCAATCCTCAGTGTATATTTTCCATTCTCCTTCTTTTTGTTATATTTACACTGTATGTTTAACGGTGCTTTTCTGTATTAATGCATATGCACACACTTGCCGCTTCAGGTCAGAGCATCTCACAACAACGTATGCAGTCTTATATTCACTCCCGATCTCAAAAGAAAAGAAAACAAACCTTTCTTTTTAATCTTTGTTTTATTTCTTACTTCAATTTCTTTCTTCTCTCTCTCTCTTCTCTCTCTCTCTCTCTCTCTCTCTCTCTCCTCTCTCTCTCTCTCTCTCTCTCTCTCTCTCTTCTCCTCTCTCTCTCTCTTTCTTTCTTCTTTCTCTTTCTCTTTCTCTTTTGGGTTCACACACACACACACACACACACACACACACACACACACACACACACACACACACACACACACACACACACACACACACACACACACACACACACACACACACACACACACACACACACACACACACACACACACATTTTTTGGTATATGTTTAAATTTTACATTTGGAAACAAAATGAGGCTGATATTTCATTCCGATAAGGAGGGAGAGAGAGAGAGAGAGAGAGAGAGAGAGAGAGAGAGAGAGAGAGAGAGAGAGAGAGAGAGAAGAGAAGAGAGAGAGTACTATGTGTGTGTGTGTGTGTGTGTGTGTGTGTGTGTGTGTGTGTGTGTGTGTGTGTGTGTGTGTGTGTGTGTGTGTGTGTGTGTGTGAGTGTGAGTGGAGTGGAGTGAGTGAGTGAGTGAGAGAGAGTCAGTGGGGGGGGGAGGAGGCAGGTCGGGGCAGCGACAAGTATTTACATTTCCTTTTGAAACACGTACGTACACCTGTGCACATGTGTGGTTATTTGAGTGTGTATAATATGTTTGCAGCAATCTTTTTCGGACACTGACCATTCAAAATCTCGTAATTGTTATTTTTTTTCCATTCTCTTCGTTATTTTTCTCCTCCTCCCCCTCCTCCTTTTTTCTCCCTTTTCCCCTTTTTTCAATTCTCCAATTCCATCTTTCCACATTCTTTTTACTCTTTCTCTCTCTTCTTTTCTTCATCCCTTCCATTTACCACTCTCTCCTACGCCTTACTCCATCCCCTCCCCTTCTCATTCTCCTTTCCCTCTTTCTCTCTTTCTCTTTCTCCTTTCCTCTCCTTTCGTCTTACATATTCCTGTCTTCCCATTCTCTCTTTCTCCTACTTTTTTCCGTTCCTCCTCTCTCCTTAACTCCCTCTATCTTTCTCGTCTCTCTCTCTACCTCTTCTCCCTTCTCCTTCCCCTCCTTCCCATTTCCCTTCCCTTTCTCCTCCCCCTCCCTCTCCTGCCTTCCCCACTCCCTCGCTGATCCTCCTTCCTCCTCCCCTCCCCTCATTCCTCTCTCCTCTCCCCCTCCCCCTCCCATTTACCCCTTCCTCCATCCTCCCCCCACTCGCCCCTCCCTATCTTCTCCTGGCTATGACCCACTCCCCCTACCCCCCCGCCACCCAAACCAACCCTCTCCTCCCATCACCTCAATATTCTAGCGCGTAAAGGTTATGTGTTGTACCCCGCCCCCCTTCCCCTTACCCTCTCCCCCTTCCCTTCCTGTCCACCCCCTCAAACCTCCTCTCCCGTCTCGCCCCCTCCTGCCTCTCCTCCTCACACCTTCCCCTCCTCCACTCTTCCCCTCTCCCTCCCCCCTCCCGCACATCACGCTGCCTCCTCCTCTGTTCCCTCTCCTCCTCCTGAACTCCTTCCTGCTTCCCTGCTCGCCTCCCCTCCCACACGACACGTCGTTCTCCTCTGCCCTCTCCTCCGTCCTCCCCTGCTTCCTCACCCCCTCCCCATTGCAACACTCCTGTCTCCTCCTCGTCCATCGTTCCTTCCCCCTCCCACGACACACCTACCTCTTCCCGCTACCTCTCACTCCCCTCTCCACACAACATTTCCTCCTGCCTCCTCCCCCACCCTCACGCCCCTCCACACACACCTTCCCAGGGCTCCTCTACCCCTCCCCCTCCCCTTCCAACACACACTCCTCCTCCTCCCCCCCCTCGCCCCCTCCGCACACACACCTCCTCCTCTTCCCCTCCCCAACACCTCCTCCCCACTTACACCTTCTCCTCCTCCCCTACCCCACCCCTCCCCATTAACCCCTCCCACACACACCTCCCTCCCTCTCCCCTACCCCTCACCCCCCCACACACACCTCCTCTCCTCTACCCCTCTCCCTCCCTTCCCACACGCACCTCCTCCTCTCTCCTTCCCCCTCAACCCCCTCCCTCACACCTCCTCCTCCCTCTCCCCCCTCACCGTCCCTCCCGGGGCCAGGCCACACATCCTCGCTCCTCTACCCCTCTCCCTCCCTCCACAACCACAGCCTCCTCCTCCTCCCCTCCCCTCAACCCCCTCCCCGAACAACCTCCCTCCACTTACACCTCCTCCCCTCATCTCCCATCCACACAACCCAACCTCCTCCTCCTCCTCCTCCTCCCTCACTCCTCTCCCTCTCCCTCCCCACCTCCCACACACACCTCTCCTCCTCCCTCCCCCTCACACCCCTCCCGCAAACAACCTCTCCCACTTACACTCCTCCTCCTCCCCTCCCCTTCCCCTCGACCGGGCCTCCCACAGCACTCCTCCTTCTCTGTCTCTGTTACCAGGCCTACTCGAATGCCTTCGGAAAAGTGGATGCTGCGGGCCTGTTATCTCTCGTTTTCTTGATTTGTCTCTCGGTTTGGTCGCGGTCGTCTCGTGTGCAGTCTGGCGGAACATTTTCTGTTGTGTCTCTGTGTTTTTTTTCTCTCTCATACTTTCTCTCTGTTCCTCGATCCTCGATGACTTTCTTTCTCTCGTCTCCGCCCCCCTCCCTCCTTCCGTCTCTCTGGCTCCCTCCCTGCCCTCCTTCCCTCTCTCGTCGTCCCTCCTCCCCTCCCTCCCCCCTCTCCCTCCCTCCCTTTCACTTCCCTTTCCCTCCCTCACCTCTCCTCCTTCCCTCTCTCCCCTCCTCCTCCCTCCTTCCTTCCGTTCTTCCCTCTCATCTCTCCCTCCCTCCCTCCTCCTCTCTCTGCTCCTCCTCCCTCCCTTCCTCTCTCTGTCTCCCTCCTCGCCATCCTCCCCCCTCTCCCCTCCTTCCCTCCCTTCCTTCCCTCCCTCCTCCTCCCTCCTTCCCTCTCCCCTCCCTCCTCCCTCCTTCCTTCCTTCTTCGCCTCTCCATCTCTCCCTCCTTCCTTCCTTCCCCTCTCCTCCCTCCTTCCTTCCCTCTCTCTAAATTATCAACTGCAATTAAAGGCAAATCACCTTTTATTTGGATGAGGCAACGCGGCTGACTCAGCAATTCGCCAAGTAAAACCAGATTGCAAGATGGGTGTGTGTGTTGTGGCGTGAGGTTCTGTGAGGGTGTGTATGTTGGGGGAATCTGGTGATATGTGCTTTCTGATTTCTTTGCCTGTATGGTTTTTGTCTGCGTGGTGAAGTGTCTAACACATACAAGGGCATTCCACATGCACATGCATGCAGCAACTCGCACGCACTCGCACGCAACGTATGCACGCACCCAACCCACACCCCACACACACACATGTATTTACCATACACATAGCACACACGTCACATATACTACAATACACACCACATGTACATACATGGGCCGCGCGCATAATGCGAGAGGATGCGTGCAATGCTCGATGCGCGTGCGTGCGCGAATGCTACGGAGATGTTGGCGCACTTCGCTCTCTTCCTGTCCAAAGAAGAGAATCCGAAAGAAGCTGAAGATAAGACGAGCAATTCCTTCGGCTCCTGAGGAAAGACGCGACGGCCCGATCTCTCTTGCGCGAGTGATCAGACACCTAATGGGCGGGCTAATTACAAGGGTCTTATTAACGATCCCTGTTGATCGGAAATAGGCCGGGGGTGAGATAGCTACCCCTCACCGCCCCCCCCCCACCCCCCCACCGCCACCCCACCTGTGATCGGATAAGAGCCGTCGTGGATAGCTACCCCGTCACCCCCCACCCCCACCCACCTGTTGATCGGATAGGCCGTCGGTTGATAGCTACCCCACCCCCTACCCACCCACCCCCCCACCCACCAGCTGTTGATCGGATAGGCGTCGGTGGATAGCTACCCCCTCACCCCCCCCCCACCCCACCCACCTGTTGATGGATAGCCATAGCACCCCTCACCCCCCACCCCACCCATCCTGTTGATCGGATAGGCCGTCGGTGGATAGCTCCCCGCTCAACATCACCGCCCACCCTCACCCCCCACCTGTTGATCGGATAGGCCGTCGGTGGATAGCTACCCCTCACCCCCCCCACCCCACCCACCTGTTGATCGGATAGGCCGGTCGGTGGATAAGCTACCCCTCACCCCGCCACGTCCCCACCCCCCACCTGTGATCGGATAGGCGTCGGTGGATAGCTACCCCCCCTCAGCCCCCCACCCCCCCACCCACCTGTTGATCGGATAGGCCGTCGGTGGAATAGCTACCCCTCCTCACCCCCCCCCCACCCACCCACTGTTGATCGATAGGCCGTCGTGGATAGCTACCCCCTCACCCCCCCCCCACCCACTCCACCTGTTGATCGGATAGGCCGTCGGTGGATAGCTACCCCCTCACCCCCCACCCACCACCCACCCTGTTTTGATCGGATAGGCCGTCGGTGGATAGCTACCCCCTCACCCCCCCCACCCCCCACCCCACCCACCTGTTGATCGGATAGGCCGTCGCGGTGGATACCTACCCCCCCCCCCCCCA